ATCGAGGAGTGAGAGCCACAGTTGTATTTTCAGTCAAGCTTCATGGCGAAGCAGAGTCAAGTAATATCACAATGCAGAACAACAAAGCAAAATGAACCAAGCCCAAACCAGTTCGTGACTCCACTGTATCTGTGGTTGTTGGTTGGCAGTGCATCTGCGGGTTTGTTTGCCACAGGCGCTGCAAGCTTTCCAAAGGTCGATATGGTCATAGCGTGTGATTGGTTTCTATGTTCAAAATTAATTCGAGCCCGAAAGGATTTCTTGTGGCTCAGTGAGTTCCGCGATATGTCAAGCTGAGAGAGATGCGTGTGTACGGATGACGATTGAATCGGTTATTCGCATCGTGGCTGCAAGTACATACATAGTACGTAGGTATCTAGTGTACAGTACAGTAGTACCTTGGGCTGAGAAATGATGAGACCAGACCTATCGTGTCCAGCACCATTTGTAATGCCTCCAGTACGGACCACGGTGGGCATGAGATGGTCATGGTGGGTCGCTTTTGATAGTGTTGAGGGGATGAGAAAGGCGGCTGACTGGTGCACAAGTGACAAGCGACAGGGCTTCTCAGTGAAGAAACAGCAACTGCTGCTAGGGATCCAATGGTGGTGAGGTTAGACGGAAGCCGATGACACAAGTGGGAAAGCGCCGGTGTCTTGGTTTTCGATGCCTCCTTCCCTCCCTAGGGGTGCGTTAATCAGAAGAGTTCAGGTATGATAATGGAATTACGACTGTCCTGGTGATTTTGGTAAACTCAGAGTAGTATTTTTGCAATTTGGAAGAGTATCAACCAGAATAATGCCATTGCTAGCTTCTTTCTAATATATAATAGTAAATATTTCTCAATGAATGAGAGGCAGGATGAAGATTTTACAATGCAAATGATGTCGGTTTATTCTTGAACCCCGAGGGCCGTCAAGCATTACAATTGCAGATGCTCTAGCCAATCATAGCATTTTTAGGTTGAAAGCAGTCCCGTTCCTCCCACTTTCCATTTTCAGGGAAGGTAGTAATAACGTCTGCTTTCCTTCCTCATCCATCAGTCATCCATGAATTCAATGCCGATCCTTAGTAGGCAAGGTTGACGCATGCTGAAATGTCCAATATCAGTACAAGAGACAGATTGCAGCGTCGTTCCTTCTTACACCGGTTGCTAGAAATGTTGATGCTACCTCACATTCTTGGGCTGCATTGTGTATCAAATTCTGTTACAACCTCCAGTAGTGATCGACCAATTTTTTTTTCACTATTGATATCCATCCTAACTCCCTTCTCTGGTAGTTGCTTGGCTTGGCGGTCCCATGTCTTCTTTCCCCTAGGAGGTTTAAAGACAATGGGGCAACTACTACTGCATACGAGTACCTAGGTATGTACCTGCCTGTCTGCCTCCTGCCGACAGAAGATGGACAAACTTGGTAATGCGATCCATGGAAGGGGCTTGTTCCATGCTCGAATTCATCATCCTCCAACTAAATTATCTTACATTTTGACCTGCAAATCTGACATACACCCGCTTGGTTGTCTGCTTGTCTCTGTCTCATGATGTATGTATCCATTGCATGGATTGATTCACTCCTTCAAACATCCAACCAATCATCCCTGCGCCAAAGTCCCTACTGCTACTGTGCGCCAAAGTGAATAAACTGAAAAGCAAGGGTCATCTCCAAGGTTAGATTCCCTGTCATAAGTGACTCACTATGGTTGGCTGGCTCCTGTACCGTACTGATTCGTTCATTTTCTAGATTGATTGTCCGCATGTACTCAAGTGGCCATCACAGCACCCACTTCACCATCCTGTTTGCGAGCTTTGCGCCCACATACATACGAGAAAAGTAGGCTGCGGCGGTATGGTTTTGCTCTTCATACGAGGCGACCGTAGGCACGCGTCGGGATATAACCAACTTTTTGTACCAAGCCCACATGCGTACGTATTCGATTTCGCCAGCTATCGCTGATTAGGCAAGCCAGTCTCGTTACAAATGATTTATGCGTTACAGGCTTGTATGCACATGCACATCTTGTCCGAGCTGTCGGAGATAGCATCTCGAGCTTGCAACTACTAAGGAAAAAGTAAAGAGAGACGAGACAAGTCACTCATTCCCTTGCTACTGGGGCTCTTATTGGTGGTGTGTGCATGGGAAGTTCCTCTGCTGCGAGTAAGTGGCCTGGACTCGCATATATTCACAATTGCTAAGCTCTGTACCTGAGGTCGAGAATACGATGATGAACGCCATCATAGTGTTGACGAATGACCTGCATGATGATCCATTGCCAGCCTGACCGATGTCATATCAAAAGATTCCTCTGAAAACATCAATCGATATTACATTCTTTTGACTGGCAAGGTTATAAGACAACATCGCGAGAGTCTTGGTCACAACACAAACAGCAAGATCCTCGACTCCCTCACGAATTACACAACAGGTTACTTACGTCTATATGCATGTACCCGGTACGCAGCAATTGATTAAGCTGGTTACTAAAATGTCTTTCTTGCCTCTCCTTGTACGAAATTAGCACACCAATTTTGATTCTCGCAACCCGCAACCAAGGTTTGTCCATGTCTCTTTGGCGCCTGTTGGGCACGCCAGTTGTTTTTGGTCAAGCAAGGTTGCAGTCAACGGAATGCAGTGACAGGCTTGTGCACAATTGACTTACTTTCTAACGGCAATAAGCCTCTTGCCCACCATAAGGCCTGAACGACGACTTTTTCCACACCTGTACTGCTCCTCAGGTCTCGGCGAAATCAGGCGCCCATCAATGGAAAGGAGCGTCGAGAACAGACAGACATGCTTGCAACAAGTTGACAAGGGCTTTGTTAGAGGGCATCCAAACCGACACCGGACCATGTGTCGATTATTAGTGCTACAAGATGAGGCTCGACTACTTGGCGCGTGGACGTGCCGGTATTGTCTTGGCCTGGCTGACACAGCTCGAGGTTCGCGAGATGCAGATTTGGTGCCGTCAACAACTAACTGGTCACTTCTGGGTTGCCCCGGTTGAGTTTTTGGATCATCGTCCCTAGTCTCTTTGTTGGAAGTGTAATGATGGGCTGGGCTCCGTTCATGGCGCTGTCCAGCACGGCGAGGGGGAAATGCCCGCAACGGCAGGGATTCCCACCGTTCAATGCCAGGTTATCGGATGGGGCCAGACGGTGGCTTCTAACTACGTGCTACTACGTATTTCATTCAATGGTCGATGAGACGGATTCAATATCCTTGTTCCATTTGGAAAGAATTTCAATTCAGCACTGTAAAAAACGACTCGGCGCCATACCAAGGATCCGGGAGAGCTAATATGCCTGCCGAAGGGACGCTGGCTCAGCGGGCCCACTAACTGCGTCCATATGTACGATACAGAGTACGGACGCTACACCACCAAAGAACGAGTACAGCCGTATTCCCAATATGCTCATTGCGGTGTCTCAGAAAGTCATGAGGACTCAGTGATGAAGCAAAAGGCTCATATCTAAAGCACGGCGCTCCCGCTCGCATGCTAAGTGACAAAGATGCAGAAAATTACTTTAGCCGTTAATAGTTCGATGAGCGGCACAGATGTGCGGCGCCTCGTAACGAATGGGTGTTGATCCCATTTGGAAGGGAATGGACTTGTCCCTTACTGTGGGGGTACATGACAACTTTTGTTTGATTCATTGCTATTGCTACTGCCGTCGGGCTTGAAAGCTGGGACCATTTTCGTTCCTTTATCAGCCATGCCGTGCCGGAGGTGCCTTTCTTCTCCTGAACGATGACTGAACCTGTCTAGTAACCCAACGATGGTTACCGCCTCAATATATTAAAAACACGGGTAGCCGACCCCAAACCAGCCAAAGCCAAAGGAGATCACAGCACAAGCTGCACAGCATAACACAACATAGTACAGCGAAGGAGAGCAGAGCGGCATCATCAATGAATGGGGCAGGGAACCTGGTGGTTATTTACACGCGGCCTACACTCACGCATTCACGCTCCTGAAAAGGTCAAGCAGGGAATAGCAGTGGAGTAAGCGCCGTGGCATGGCTCATGGCTCCTCATGGGTTCAAGCTCATGATTGATGGACAACTCATGAGGCAAGCAGCATGTCAAAGATAGAGTTGCACCACTGTTGCGGGTTGGGTAAGTAATAAGTGAAGGTTCCGACACACCATCTGTTTGGATGGCTGAGGACTTGTCGGACAAGCGAGCATGCAACACAATGGATAAAAGGGAAATACTGAGTTGAACTCAGATCGATTGACCACACAAATTTTTACAGTACATAGAACAACAGCACTGTAACTTACCTGTATCCGTACAGGGCCAATGGATGAGAAGCTTTGTACCAGTCCTAAACCGACGTGTGTCCAATGAACTTTCATTGATGATTCGGAAGACACTCCATAATGGATGTGTTTGTCAAAACCTCCATCTTTTCATTTATCAAGGATCTCACATACGGATACAAGCCCCAGGCTTCACGGGAAGGGTTGGAAGGAATCCAACATGTGCATAAAGGTGTGCAGGTCAATCTCACAAGGCTTTTCAGGAACGACGCGTTCATCAACCGCCTTTGTTGATGTCCCTCTTGTCTGAACAGGTTTCGTTGCGGCCAGTCTCATTCTAATTATCATCTACATTTCCATTCAATCCCCATCTCAATATCAAAACCAATACCGCAAGTATCCCTTGAGCAAGGTCCCGCCGCCGCTTACAAGGCCCCCGTCAGGCCCACCCACAGCGTCGAGCACGGCACCGACCGGGCGACCCCTAGGGCGTTCCAGGGGCGACTTTGAACGAATTTGATGCTCCATTAATAAGTGAGCTGGGGGCTTAGAATGCAGTGGGTGAATGGTAGGTTCCAGCACCCAGGACTCCGCTGTCTAGCGGGCTTGGGTCCAATAAAGCATGGAGAGGAGTGGAGGAAACTTGAGGGTTTTAGCGGCGAGCGAGGGGCGTGTGGTTTTATGGCCTGGGGGGCGTGTGATAGCCGTAATAATAGCAGCTAACACGAGGCAAAGCACCTCACCTCACCTCACGGAAACCGGGGTTGTCGCTGGGTGCGGTGTCAGCTGGAGAGCGCCACGATGGCCCTGGTCTAGTCCGTAGTAGCAGGTCTAGGAGAGGCTCGCGACATGACCTACACAGGATTGTCATGTCGGTGGTACCGGGCTTTGTATGGGTTTGTCTGAGAACCAACAAGTATAGCCATACATGCCCGGCTAGTACCACAGGACACGGCGCGCAACCTGGCCTAGGGACGGCCGGGCGGGTGTGCGTGTGCAATGTCTTGTCTGAGGTCTGAGGTCTGAGAATATGAGTAAGTAAGTGAATGAGCGAATGAGTGAGTGAGAGTGAATGACTGAAAGAATATGTACATGGCATAGTACCTACATACAGTACTCTCGGCCAACGGAACGGTAACCCATCCAATGACTCCATTAAGCCTCTCTGGGTCTGAGTCTGAGTCTGATCCAGGGCATCACTTTCAAGGATGGTACTTCTAAACCTTAGTCGCTCCAGTGGTGAGATCAAGTACTTTACTGGGGCTATCAGTGGAAAAGCAGGGACTCCACTTCTCTGGGACTGCCCTGGGCTGGCTGGGTCTGGGTTTGAACTGGGGACGGACACCCCTACTTCATACTCCCTACGCTTTGGTGCAGTAGGTACTTAACGCTAAGTGCGCTATACTATACTGGGCTGCGTCTAGGAGAGAACCACACTTGCTTGACGAACGACGAGACTACCAAGTCTAATCCAAGTGAATGGAAGTCAACTACCTTACAGGACTGTCTGTACATACACGCACACAACCACCAGCCATGGACTGACTGAGCCCATTCCGTTGTTGCTTCTTTTTCTTCTTTCCTTTTCCTGTTTCAGTTCCTATTTCCTCTCTCTTCTTTTCCTTCCTAGCCATCCAAACTTCCTAACTTGGAACTCCCCCTCCAAGACTATCATACTCAACCTCGACCTCAACCTCCATCTTCAAAGCGAATACAACTGTTCTCCAGCCTCAGCGAGCTTATACTAGCTTCTTCCAACTAGCTTTGTCCTTGCCGTCCGATACCATAAACGAACAATCACTCTACCATCCAGGAAACGAACGATCTCCGCCGACTTTCTTCGCTTTGAGCCGGTCTACTGCGAGTACACTGCCAGTCTGTGCCAGTCAAACATGGCACTGGCGCTCCTAGAGTATCTATAGACAAACTCATTCGCCGATTTTATTTCCAGAATCTCGATACAAAACGAATGAAAGCTTCGGCGGGGTATATTCAATTGTTCTTTTGCCGGCACAATAGGTCAACACGGAGTGACGCAGTGGAGCTTGCTTCCAAAGAGTGAAGCTTTTCACAATATACCCTACCCCTGGTTCACCTCGAATTTGGCGATTGTGTCTATTGCCTCGCCCAACAACAAGTAGGCAAAACGCATAGGTCTCCATGTCGGCTGGTACATTGCTTGGGACCTTGAACTTTCCTCCTTCACCTCCACACGGCTCTGGCAGCCGGGAACAAAGGTTTCCTTCAAGTATACAACTGCCAAAGCTGCACTCTCGATTCGATAACACTCCGTCGTCGCGAAACGGGCTTAGGACTCCCCCTTCCGACGAAATGAGCACTGTCTTCCAGCCCCCGCTGGCTTCATGGGAGAATCATGCCATTCACAACTATCCTGCTGCAGTGCCTCAAACTGCCCGACCTGCAGCTCCTGTGGCCGATGCGAGTGGATCTCAATACTACAGATATCCGACGCAACAACAAGATCAACAGCAGCAGCAACAAACACAAACACAGACCACATATAACCGTTACTACCAGCATGAGCAATCGACACAACCTCAGCTCGAATTGCACCCCACCTCCCAAGTCTCTCAACACCGAAATGGATCGATCTCAGCAGAGTCGCAGGCCGTAGGACAGACCGCCAGGGCTTCAACGCCTGCATCGACTGCCTCAGGGAGCAAGGATGAGTCAGAGTCACTAGTCTATCATAGCCTGCAAATCCCCAAGTGCATCAGTCCTTCAGGTGGAAACCTCGCCGATTTTGCTGCTCAGGTATGTGGCCTCGAACAAACGTCATGGAATTCTCAATTTTGCTAACAGGAATTAGATGACTTGCTTGTTCTGGTTTGAATCTATTGAGGAACTCAAGCAGGCCGAGTCGATTCGTGTTAGAGGCCCCAATGCCCTCATCCCTCGGTTACCGTCTCTCGCCAAACCCTACGACCAATTTCGGAAGTGGGTGTACAGCGTTCTGTCGACGACACAAGTGACCCAAAATGTCATTTTATTGGCATTGTTGTTCATCTACCGACTGAAGATGTCAACTCCTCAAATCAAGGGTCGTGCCGGCAGTGAATATCGATTGCTGACTGTGGCCCTCATGCTCGGGAACAAATGTAAGTGAAGAGTGAACATGGGTGTCGGACATCAACTAACCATATTACAGTCTTAGATGATAACACCTACACGAACAAGACCTGGGCCGAAGTGTCATGCTTCAATGTGCAGGAGATCCATGTCATGGAGGTGGAGTTTCTGAGCAACATGCGATACAACTTGGTTGCTACAAAGGAACAGTGGGAGGGTTGGTTGGACAAGCTTTCCTGCTTCCACGAGTACTACGAGCGAGCTGTGCGATTGCCAGAATCCCCGATTCATATTCCTTCACCAACAAACAAGTCTCATTACTCGCCTGTCGCTTCACCGACGGCTATGATGCAGCCCACCGCCAATCTCCCTACTCCGACTGTTACAACGACCAACTACTCACCTACCTCGAGTCACTCCCAGCACTGGTCTGCATACCACTCGAACACCGTCTCTCCATTGGCTACCAAGCCCAACTTGCAGTTCCCTGTCTCACGGAAGCGAAGTCCCGAGGAAGAGATTATGGAACACCCCGCCAAGCGACTTGTTCCCCATGGACGAGCTCCAGCTCCCGCCATGGTCCAGCCTATCAGCACACGATCCAATGGAATCGTTGAGCCGGCGAGGCTACCTGTCCCTCATCTTACTGTCATGACCGGACAACCCCAGATGCAGCCTCAAGCCCAGCCCACATTGACGCCCTTCAACAATGGCAATGTCAATGTCAAGGGGTATCCTCAACCTACACAGCAGGTTGCTCAGCCTGTTCACGTCTCGCTTCCTCCGTTGCAGACCGGTATGCGTGCCATGTCAACAGTCTACCCATCAGCCCCCGCCGCTATGGTGCAAAAGCAATCGCTTCCCGCAACAACGGGTGTCACCATGGCGCAAGCTGGCTTTCCTACTCAGGCACCTGTTAGCTTTGGTACACCAAACAAGCAGCACAGTCCTGGACGTCTAGGCCCCTTCAACTCGTCACCTCTAGCTGAAGCATACGGTCAAGCATCGGCTGTTCACACTCCTATGGTGCACACTCCCATTTCTAACTCGCCGAGTGTCTTCCTGCAACAGCGACCTAGCCCGTACAAACCTGTGCGCCACGTTAATACTCTCTTGTGTCCCCCGCCTTCGGCCTCACTTGAGCAGTATCATCTCGCTGTGCCTGTTCCCCCAACACAGATGCACTATCAGCCACTGGGACGACGAAACGACCTGCGAACTGGCATTGTCCCGGAATTTATGGTCTATAACCGCAGTCACCCGCAGAACCTCCCCCCTCACGGACTCGCTCAGGGACACTACCCGTCTTAGGGATGGCAGGGTTACCCTCCGATCGTTCATGATTCTCACCGCACCACACAGCACCACATAGCGTAAACCTCAGCTCTGAGGTCATTTTAACTCTGCATCTGAAGTATGTTTCGCATTTTTGTTCATGGATCATTGCGTCCTTGTTTTTTATGAAGTTAGATTTTTGGGGTCGGATTTGCATCACAGCATCACATGGCATTGGCGTTTGGAAGGAAAGAAATAGGCCAGGGTTCAACAGTCTCCCGGACAGGACTACATAGGGAAACGGATTAGGACATCAGGGCTTACGGTTGCATTTGGCTCGGAGTTTGGCTTGTTTTTTTTTTTGGCGATGGATGCTGCGAAGCCATGTAGGTTGGCAACGAAGCATGTTTCACGATGCATCGAGCTTCTTCACCAAGAGCTCATCATGTCGCAGCGTTCATCCAGCGTCGGATTTCTCTGCATGACGTCGGCGTCAATATCGCCTGTATATAGACGGACGCACAAGACGTCAGTTATGACTCTTAAAATATATCACAATCAACAGAGGGTTCTGCCAAAGATACCAACCCCGTGATCACACAGCAATTTGCTACACATGAGAAAATTACTTAAACTCGTGCTTCTAATGCCGTGAAAGTGTCATGGTGGGTGAAACCTACTTATTGGTGGCATTGTGGAGTGACAACATGTGCATATATAAATTCTATGTGACTAGATGGCATGAAAGAATGACTGGTATATCCGAGTATAGTCCCTTCCTTGTTCTCGCTGGCACCTGTGTAATTGTTTGGAGCTCCTATCATGATACGTGATTTTCACTTTGGCTCTCCTAAGGTGGATATTTCGTGTTATATCATTGGGTTTAGTGATAGCCAGCCACAACCTTGTCTTCAGCGTCGTAGACACTCTGACGATCGATTCTCACGTATTGAAAATTTAATACCTCATATAACCTTATTATGCCGTTGTAGATCTGATATGGACTGGAATATATTTCGGCATATAGTCTTTATGGTGGCTCTAGGGTATGCACCGGTTAACCAGACATGAGGTTGGTGAACTCTCGCGAACCCCTGCTTTTCATGCACTTCTACTACCTACCTAGTAGTACCTTGGATAGTTCAATAGAACCTGTTCAGAAACCAGTATTGCTGAACCGTGTCCAGTGAGAGTTTTCACAACCAAGGTAGCCAAGGTCATGTATCTTTGCTGCCTCTGCCTCTGCCTCTGAACTGATATGCTTGACCCTGGTTCTGTTACATATTTACAGGGGTATATCACTGGCAAACAGGGCACTATGTGCTTCCTACAGCAACGCCAAGAAACAGACCAATCATACAACACACCAGCCACTTTTCAACGCCTTACCTCTCCACCTCTGCCACTTTCCCACAACAACGGCACAGCAACGAGATCCTCCACTCAACTCCACTTTGTCTCTTCTGACCTTCACCCATCTCTCCCGCCTGAGCCTAAAGCGCAGCAGAGGCATGCAACACATTCGCTTCGATACCTCGAATTAAACCATCGCAGCTGTCGCGTCGCATCTGCTCTACTCTTGGTGTTTTAGATCCGACCGGTTTTCTTGTGTCTTCTCTCGTTTTCAATATCAGTTCTTTAGCCGCTAGATCGAAGAAAGGGGGCGCCGACGAGCCATCGGTCAAGGACGACATTTGGTACCCGACCGAGCGAAACACTCCCCTTTTTACGCAGTAAAGGGTTGTGATTGCATTCCGATCGAAATTCGAGCCCCTTGTAGTTGGGGATATCTCCTAATATCCACCCTCGAACTCCGACGACGGTCGAAAGGTTGAGCCAGCGATTAGTTATCGCGCCGAGGGTTTTGGACAACTCGACGACATCGATACGACGACTTAAACGATATTCTCGACGACAATCGCACTGCCACTCGTTATCGCAATATTCGATTCATCGTTCCTCGCACTCGCTTACCTTTGGATCTACGTAATTCCTGCGACAACAACCGAACCGTGATCTCTACTCGTCCATCATGTCTGGCTTCGGCGACTTCACCTCGATCTGCGAGACGGCACCTCTGCCACTATGCGCTTCAGTTGGACCTACACTTCAGGCGACCGGTCGTACCGGTATTGAGCCAGAATGCTATGCTCGCAACATCGAACTCGCCAACACCATCATTTTCGAGGGCGCTGCGTCCGTGATGCACATTGTTGCGCTCATTATGACCGTCATTATGATTCTCCACGTCCGTAGCAAGTTCACCGCTGTTGGCCGCAAGGAGATTCTCAGCTTCTTCTACCTCTATATGTTACTCACTGCTATGTCTCTCATTATTGATGCTGGTGTTGCGCCTCCAGGAAGCGACCCGTATCCGTACTTTGTCAGTGTGCAGAATGGACTCAGTAGTGCGGTTATTACATGTCTTTTGATCAATGGCTTCGTTGGTTTCCAATTGTATGAAGATGGAACACCTCTCTCAGTATGGATGATGCGCATCAGTTCTCTGGCTGCTTTCGCTATCAGCTTTCTCGTCTCCCTTGCAACCTTCAAGAGCTGGGCTGGACTCGGACCCACCAACACTGTTGGACTGTTCGTCGTTCTTTATCTGTTGAATGCTGTCCAGCTTTTCGTGTACGTGGCTATGCAGATTCTGCTTGTGACTAGGACACTGCAGGACCGATGGCCTCTCGGCGATATTGCGTTTGGTATCTTCTTTTTCGTGGCTGGTCAGGTCCTTCTCTACGCCTTCAGCTCGAAGATCTGCGTCGCCATCAGCCATTATCTTGATGGTCTGTTCCTCGCGACAGTGTGCAATTTGCTGGGCGTTATGATGGTTTACAAGGTATGTCAAATATGATTCGGAAACTCCGCAGCTGGTTACTAATATTTAATAGTACTGGGATTCGATCACAAAGGAAGATCTCGAATTTTCAGTTGGTACAAGGATGAACAACTGGGAGGTCAAGGAGCTGCTACCAGAGGAAGAACGAAGGGCGACTGTCTTTTCAGAGGACCCCTATGCTCAATCTAGCTCCTATGATCTGCCTTACTCGCCAGGCGCGGCACGATACTCGGCCAAGTACTAAACGCTCTGACCACCAGAACGAAAAGTTTGACGCCATTAACGAGACTTCATTTTCTTCTGTTTTGATTCAGCGCGTGGCGCGCGGGGTTCATGTGGCTCTTAAATAGCGACACGGAACATTGGGCTGTTTTGCTTTTGGAATCTTTACATTGCGCGGCGTTTTTAATGGACTGTATAGGGGTGACCAGTCTGGATGGTTACAACTGGGTATGACGAAACCGGACGGGCGAATGGAAGGCCTAGGAGAAGCAAGAGACGCTTGTTAATAAGGGGAACCTTGCTGGCTAGGATGGATAACGACGCGTAGTTGTTGCGAGTTTTGCATATAATCATATAGGTAGTTTATATATTCTTGAAGCTATACTTGCATTGAGTTTCGTTTGTGTCATGATGCTTGGGCTACAAGTTTGGCTGACATGATCTGATCTGATAGTCGGCCAGATAGACTTATGATGCATGGGCTGAAGCTGAGCGATCCGTGGTATTATACCGAGTTGGGATTGGTAAGAACGGAGTCTCGTGTCGGTAAGAAACTTTCGGATTGATATTCGTAGTAGCTTGGCAGAGCATGTTAGTGGAGAGGTCATGTCACTGGACGAATGGATATCGATTTCCCCACCTCCCATCTCGGCCGTCTCCGAAGCTCATATGCGATGATAATGAAAACCAGGTTATATCCAGGGCCTAACTAAGTCTAAGATGTGCATATTCGTACATAATCAATACTGTGAAGGATGAGATCACAAGCAACTAAACATGTGCCGCACGCGGGACAGGCAACAATATGTATATGCGATATCGACAAGGAAGTACAACGTAGTATGCATGAATATACAGAGCATTAAGTTAAGTTAATACTCCCGGCTAAGCACAGTATTTCGTAACAAACACTATCGTGTCAGCATGGGTACCGACGCCACAGATCAAGGGGGCGTGGAGACGATACACTACAGTGCCAAATTCATTGGACAGTGTCAGCTGGCGCTGCTGGCTTTTATCTTGTCTTGAGAAAGTATTGCACTGCGAGAACTTCTGAGGGATTGAGTGAGGGTGAAGGGTGAAGGGTGGAGGGATGGAATTGGAGGGTGCTAATCGCACGTAATGTAGCCAACCAACTACGACAATTGAGCTAAAGAAACGCGACGAGGGCAACTGCTCGTATATAAGTCCATTGAATGCCCTTTGTTATAGAGCTATACATTAGACTACCATTACCAAGTTGGTCGTAGGGGAATAAGGAAGCGCAGAGCCGAACATTATTACCGTCCCCATATATCCGTTTCGGGCTCGAGACTATGTGTAATTTGGTTCAATGGTATGGACTTAAGATAACTGATTAGTACCAAGGTATAACCTGCGGGTAAATAACATCGACAGGGTCGCGTATGCGTGTTGCTTAGAACGGAGTATTCTTGAGCTCATCAATCTCGGATCTTCTCAGGGGGAACCACAAAAAAAACTCTTCGAGAAATGCTTTGAATGTTGATGATGAGGCTGACTTGTGATTTCGACTTTCTCTCCTTCCTCGTTTGCTTTAATGCTGGAGTCACCGCGTATAGTTTCCTCGCACGTGATAAGGCACTAGAGCGAAAAAGGACACAGAAGCAGGGGGTGGCCTGTCGAGTTTTACGTTTTACTCGCTTCGTGCATGGTTCGGTACCGGACGCTGGGTACCTTTTTATAATGGAGAAGTGAAAGCAGAACCAACAAGTGGAGATTGTATAAAAAAGTCCTAGGACTTATGTAGCAGTGTAATGTAATTGATCAGGCGATGTATGTATGTAGCATATGAAAGACACGTGCTTGACTGGACATGGAAATTCCTCGATACCCAGGTTGGCAAGAAAACGAGAGATCTATTGTCACGGAGTTACTATCACACTTGGTTTCTCAAGCGATGAGGTAACTTCAATTGCTGTCGAAACTCAATTCTTATTCCTTAGCCTCTAGGTACTTTCTCGGGACAAGCTACGACTAGATACCTGGCCAGCCTCTCTGAGTGGTCGATCGGTGCAGGGGTCTACGAGGATCTAGCGGAAACAAAGCGCGTGAAAGCAGCTGAGACGGGAAATAAGTTAGCAAAGAGGAAAGAAAAGGATCCTACCGACCTAGCTTACCTTAGGTAGAGAAGGGCAGAAGAAAAGATACTTAATCTCATAGTTGGGTGCACGTACCTGCCTGCACAACTACCTGATGTGATGTGAGGTTTGATTTGGCGCACATGTGCTTTTACGTTTAGTACGGATCCATATACCTCCCAACCTCACGTAAGTAGGTACCTACTACTACCGGTAGAGCTAATAGCTTTCTGTAATCTGCATTCACACCTTATTCGTCCTCTCTTCTCATTCGCCCCATTGCGGTGGTTTCGGTTGGTTGTTAGTACATCCATCCCTCCTAGGTGCCAACCAGGCCAAGTACTAAGTAGGTGATAGCTCATAGGTACTGTAGCACTTTCCCTTTCACTCACTCACTCTCGAACAAAATAATAATATTAAACTTACCTAACCTTACCTCGACCTAAACTCTCTTACCTTTCCCTCTCCTTCTGCCTACTACTATTCCCATTTCATTTTCCTCCTACAGCCAACCTTTCCCTTTATCACGGTCCTCCACTCCCTCCCATTCACTGACTGGATTGACTACTCATCTACCCTCCTTCACACGTCACTGTCACTGTCGCTGTCACTGACACTTACCCGACTTTACTTTACAATACTGTCCCCTTTGGAGGTGATCGTCTGAGCTTACTTTTATTCGCGAATACTCTTTTTATCCTTAATCTGTCCGACACTGTCCTTGCGCACATTATTCTCGCCCCCAATCCCCCAATCGTGGCCTATCTCTCACCCAAAAAAAAAAAACAAACAAAACTTTATCATTCATACCACGCCCGTTCCCAGGCGCATCGCGTACCACAAACCGTGCAACACAGCTGCACCTCCCTTTTACTCCCAAGAACATCCTGAAACTATTCGATCGCGTCCTTCTATCATCCCTCATTGTGCCTTTCTGAGTGAGGTTGTACCTTTCAGCAGGGATATAGTGGCCCGCACTGCGAAACCGTGGGCTCATTTGCGCGACAGCGATCTAATTCGGATTGCAATTCCGACTGAGCTGGGATGCTGAATGGCATTTGAGAGGAAGCCAGCTTCTGTAACCAAAAACCCGCTTCTTTTTCGACGGGCCCATGCCCATTGACAGGCCGCGAAAAAAAGCAAGCAATTCGGCCACTAACGAGCTTTGGGTGACAAGGGGATTTGTCACTTTAATGCTTCATGTTAGGCCAGCTCCCTCCCTATTGAACCCACCACTATCATCTTTCCTTAAGCCTATACACGCTGGTCGCAACACGCTTCGCTCCATCAGAGTTTCGAGATATAAATGTATTTTTTTTGATCTCACGCGCTTTCCGCCAACTCATTTCCTTTTCTCAGCCTATTACCTCAGCTCGTCTTTTGGGGTGGTTTAGTCCGATTGCAACCCGCTTTCAGCACGCGCCACACGACTCTATTTCAGCCTTTGGGCAATCGGATTAGAGCCACTGATTTATAAATTCCTGCGACCATCTGCACAATAGCTAGTGAAACGCGTTTGCCCGTCTGCGGCTTCTTGCTCATTTCCTTCAACCAGACGCGGTCACGTGTAACCCAGTAGCGAGCTCATGCACCCAATTATCAAGGTTTCTACTACTCATACTTCATTTCGACTGATAGTGGTCCTACCTTGAAGTCTTATTGTTATTGCAGATTCGTGTTAAGCAGTCGCTTGAATCAATTGGCCCACGATGGCCACAGGGGAAGATGTCTGGGACTCTCTCCCAGAGGGGGAGCAAAAGTCTGTTTGGGATGAGACCGAACGCAATTTCTGGGTTAACCTTCGCAGCAAGAAGGATGCGGAAAACAAAAAGATTGAGAAAGATTTCCAGCTCTCGATCAATGAAGTTCGGTTGAAACTCAGTGACCTTACAGGACAGCGAAGCCAACTGAAAGAATCTCAATCCCGACTGGCTAGGGAACTCGCTAAAGTCGAGGCTGAACTGGCACGCACCACTGATGAGTGTGAGGAGAAGGCCAACCGACTTGAGCGCATTGAGCAGGACTACCGCGCGTCACGTCAGAAGAGAACAGAAACGCTCCATGATATTTGGTTCAAGATGCGTCGATTCTTTAGACAAAAGAGAGGAGAGGATCCCAATGCTCCAGATCATCTCGGACCCGAATCAGAAGGCATTGTTCTACCTGAAATGTTGCCAGAGCTATCGTCAGGCTTTAATGGGCCGATCCCACGAATAGAGCCTACTAATGGCACTGCAGTGGCAGTGGACAGACCTGACGAAGTAGATGATGAGGATCGTATGGAAGGCATTGAGCACCACGCTAATGAGGGAGCCGAGAGTCTCGTTGATGTTGTTGATGCTGATGGCAATGTGATCGGGCCCGTGGAGCAGATAGAGCCTTGGAACCAATGGGTTGAGGGAATCCAAGAATTGGAGATACGAAGACCTGTCAAGATCCGCCGAGGACGACGCTTCAACACCACACATCTTGCAGGCATTTACGAACGAACTGAGGCGAAGGGGGTCAAATGGCTCTCTTGTATGATTCAAGCGACAGGAGAGATACAGGCCAAGAGATGCTTGTCATGCGACAAGAACCAAGGCGCCTTCGACGACTGCATCATTGTCGGCGGGGATCTCTTTCAGAAGTGTGGCAACTGTGAATGGAATCGCCAAGGATGCCATGGTTCCTCAGGGGACACAATTGACATACTGGCCTCAAGGGAGAGAGCACAACGGAAGAAGCAGCTAGAAGATGGAGTTCAAGAGACTTCTGCAGACCGTTCCTCAGAAACAGTACATCAGACAGTTGAAGTTCAGCCAAGGCCTGAGCAAACAAGTCAACCAGAGCCTCAGCGAGTCGAGGAACAGATTTCTGTGCCCTCTCGGCCACCTTCACCAAAGCCCGCTCTACAGCGTACACTTGAAAAATTCCCTGAGCCACAGCCTGAGAGACAACCGGATAGACAGACTGAAAGACGGCCAGAGCGGCAATACGAACAGCAATCTGAGCAAGGGCCTGGACGACCATTTGAGCCGCAACCTGCGAGAGTGACTGAGCGTCAGGCAGAATGGACTACAGCACGACAGCCAGAACGTCGCTTTGAGCACCAACCCGAGAAAGCTCCAGATCGACCCAATGAACGGTTCCATGATGTGATAGCTGCGAGGGCCCCAGAACGGACTGTCGAAGTAGCACCAGTGCAAACCGCTGAACGTCCTCGTGAAATGCCTCATAGACCAGTTTATGGATCACCTCATGGACCTCCAAGCCGGCCGACAACGGCTTCTAGGTCAGATTATGCCCCGGAACGTATGATCGACCCTGTGGACTCGCCCTTACCGACTCCAATATATCCTCTACCCAGGCCTCTGGAAACACCACGCTCCGTGCTTCCCTCAAGTGTTCCGCGCCGCACCCCTCATGAAATTCTCCACCCATCAACAGAGCTCGATGGCCCAACCAGAGACTATCGCGGTTCTGATCCAGTTCACACACCACGAGAGCCTGAGCAAGGCCACACTCCACAGGACTATCGAATAACTCCTGGCTTTACGCCGGCTAATGTGAGAAGTCGAGCTCCATCTAGCGAACGAGGAAGACCAACTCCACCATCTATGCCCCTGGACCCTTCATCGCAGCCTCCTGAATCACCACCTGCCCAACCACTGGAAGAGATTACCCAAGAGAATATGGTTCTTAAGAACGACGGAAATGTTTACACCTATCCTGAATGCGTTGCGGGGGTGCCATTGGTTAAGATTAACGAGGAACACCCCTATTGGGAGGCCAACTGGCCCAATGTCAAGACACTCATTGAGCCACAGCTTGCTCGATGGCGTGAGAAGCACCAGGCTGCCATTGAAGCAGGTCCTAAGCAGGATAAGGGAGGTTCTTCAAAGTATCAAATTGGCAGACAGGTCAACCGCGGTATCAAAATTCTCGAGTTCCACGAGAAGGGCCCAATCAGTCCTTATCAGTTGTTGGGTAAACGATACATCCAGGCCGGTAAGGGCGGCATAACGTCATATGACACCCTCTTTCGCCTATCAGAGACAATATCGGAGCTCGAAAAGTTCAATCTTGACATATCGCCGGTTGACTGGATGCGACAGCGCCTTCACGAACTCATTCAAACACAGGGTCACAACTTCAATCTGCCACGAACAATTCACGACTTCTACCATGATTCCAAACTCACTAGTCTTCGTTACAAACACGGCTTCAAGAACATAGGACGTCCTTCGGGAGCCATGAAGGCTCGCTTGAGCCATGGTAGCCCTAGCAACACACCGAAACCTCTCCAGAAGCGGAAGTCTATGCACTCGGTTCCTACTACGCCCCGGGAAGATTCATTCATCAACCACTCTCCTCTTCCTAACCAGATACCACCAAGCTACCCAGCACCAGCACCAGCGCCAGCGCCAGCACCGGTCTCCGCCCCTGGCCCTCAGCCAGCATTTAGCACCCACCTCAACAAGAAGCCGAAATACATGCCGCCTGCACATGGGAGCCCCATACATGACGAATTTCACTTTGAGGCTTGGTCCGATACAGATTCATGCAGCGGAGGCAGCATCACTAAGTATGATTGGCGGCTTGCTGTAGTCAAGACTCGGTTATATACCAGCCATATCAATGTCACACAGTATTGGACTTGGGTAGGACAGATACAATGTTTCCAACACCAAGTACTAAAAGATGTGAAACCCGCGAAATGGGGCTTGTTTAGGGACGAGATCGATTTCCACGTCAACCTCGCAGAGATCGAGGAGATGGAGTGGAGTATCGAAGCACTTCGCGTTCACATCATTATGAAAAAGGATGCCGGAGAGCTTGCTGCGGATGGCAAGCCTCGAGGCGATGTCATGGCGTCTTTCCCACGAGCACGTACAATGCGTCGCTTCCTGTTCTTTTGTAGAGAAAGGGGTATGAAAATGGCTAAGAGGGACCCGTGAGTGTAACCCCTGTGATGAATTGTGACAAAGTTGGAAACTAACCTGGATAATAGCGAGCAACTTAATAATCTGTGGGATTCTATGGTTTCTGAACAATTGCCTGGCCGAGGCGATTCTAATCAACAGTTGGTGGAGTAAGTTTCGTTGACCGCAAGCGACCTTCTTCGAGGGACAAAGATGGCCCTATTCTACGTGTCTCCCTTTTAATCATGATCTGACTTGTTTCGATTTCCTATTGTCTCTTTTTTTTCTTTCTTACTCATAGAGGATATCACTTTGCACCAAGCCAACACTGGATTTTGTGTGCCCATGGGAAGATTGTTTTTCTTGGCTCGGGGTTAAAGGATGGAAAAGAGAACTTGACGGGCGGAAAGGAAAAGCCGTTTAGAGAGGAGTTCTCTCATTATTACATAGTATACCTGGAGTCGATAAGACTGAACAAATGATTCAAATTTCCTTTCAATTCTTTCGTCGCCACTAGACTGAGTGTCTCACAACGTGGCGCAGATATTCGTTTATTATAAGCAGAGGCCCATACAGGACTGAAGTGGTCTTGACACAGGGCTCATTTTCAAGAGAGATCGTATTACTTATGGCAGATGCCGTGCTTTTCATGACTGAAGCAGGCTGTCTATACTAACTCGAAACAGATTATAATGCATATACATTCTTTCCAACATACTCATCCCTATCGTTTCCTCAATGTTCGCGTTGCTCCTGGTACTATATTCTGTGTCACTGTAGACGCTGCTGCCTTGACCTCGACACCACCACTGCCCATCATGCGACTCATCAGAGCAGCTCGACACTCCTTCGCCTTATCGTCACGGTATTCCAACTGCGTTGCTGGGGGCTCGGATTCTTGGTTTTCTGGATCTTTGTCTTCATCGCCAAATACATCGTGGAGCTCAGCCGCTGATCGCGAGGCAACACTGCTGGCATTGGAGGCATTGCTGATGGCACGGCCGAATAGCTGACGCTTGCGAGGTCTTGGAGCTGGTTGTTCGGTTTCATCGGAGGCGAAGGAGGGGAGATTTGGTGTTGTGGTCTCAATGAGTGACGTAAGTTTTGAGGAGAGTGCCTGGCGCTCTGCGGCCTTAGCGCGAAGACGGGCTTGCTCTGCATTTTCCTGTTGTTTCGCTTGCTGAATGTTTTCTTGTGGAGTTGGAGGAGTGTCTCTTGTTTCCTCAGTGCGAGAAGTCGTAGTGTTAACTTTGCTGATGGGATCGGAGCGAGTGCGAGGTAATGTGGTATGTTTCGTGGGTGAGGGAGATCTGTTTAGACGTGCTTGAGGAACCTCAGCAAGAGGTGAGTCAAAGTCTTTGTCTTTAGGTAAACTATTCGTTGTTGTTTGGTGAGTGCGTGCTGTGACAAAGTCTGGTGAGATGGCCGAGATAGGTTTCGTAGTCACTTTTCGAGAGACATTCTCTGGTGAGTCCTGATCAAAGGCCGAGGTATCGACGCCAGCGGCGTGTGGAGGTTTCGTGATATGACTTTTAGCTGACTTAGACACCGGTTCTGAATGAGTGCGCTGCATGGGATTTTGATGCAATCTTGTTTCAGGGGCGGCTTTAGAGGCTGGCTTAGGTGCAGGTTGAGAGGTTACTGCATATCTGTCTTTAATCTCAGGGAATATATAATCGTCGAGAGGGACCTTGAAGCCTGTACGTATACACTCCCAGAACCAATCTGCTGAAACAACAGGAATGCCCCATTTCAGAGCCATGCGCAGCTTCTCCTTACGCATGGAAGTGATGTCCTTGCATATTAGCACGCTTATAGTCTTACGAAACTCTCCATCAAACTTGGCTCCTAATTGAACAGCGGCTCTGGCAACTTGATTGAGTTCGATACCTGTAAAAGCAGCACTGCATATAATAAGGTCCGAAAACGCTGGTATGGGGAAGAAGGTAAATGGTCGACCGAGAACGTGTTCCCCAGGGTCAAAGTATTGCTTATTGTGAAGGCACTTTTCGATATAGTATTCTGTCACAACATGGAGGTTATCGTAGATTTCCTGAGGGTGAGTGTCAGGTTGAGATGTCTGAGGAACGATCAGAAACCGGCTGCGAGGCGGCTTTGGAGTTCTTCCTAGAGCGGCTTCATTTAATGATGAGCAAATAGTGGCCCCGAGGGTGACGAGTGTTTGCTCGAGGACAGAAGTTCTTTGTGCGTTGAATCCATGAATGTAAAAGTAACAGTTCCCAAAGATGCCCAGGTCTTCTTCTGGTACTACAGGAGCAGTTGGTTCAGGCTGGGCTTCTGCACGCTGTGGCTGTTGTTGGTCCTGACCTTGATTCCCATCTTCTTTATTTTCCTGAGCGAAGGAATAATCTCTCGATGTTGATCGACCAAGAATATCGCCCCAGATATTATTACGCTGCGAACTGAGCTTCATACTGGCAGTCTTTCTGAGCTTCCTAGGGCCCTCCTCAGCGCCACCTGCAATGGCAGACTTTGATCGCTTGCTCATGGTACGTTTGAGTTCTCTTGTAACCCAAGCGCCCTTCCCTTGCTCCTCGGGAGGTAACGTCGGGTCGAATTTGGCTTCTTCTAAGATCATCCTTCGAGAGATAGATTGTTCAAGCCAGGCGAGGGTGACTGGGTGAATGCCCCATGCCCTGGCTGCAGTATACTTCTTGCCTTCTGGCTTGTTGACAATTAGGTGTGTGCATCGTCTCGTTAAGTCGCCCGTATATAATCCTCCATTCGATGTGATTTTATTTGCGATTTCGTCCCTTTGGTCGCCAAAGCCAGTCAAACAAATCAGCAGCGAATCTCTTGCTGGCTCTCCTCGTTGTGGCTGAACTGTAGGATCGATGCCTCGCTTCTCCAGGGGCTTCAGTTGGTGTTTATTCTCGAGCTGTCGATAATCGATCTCTTCGTCATTCTTCCATATCTCGCTAAGTTCTTCGATCCAGGCGGCGTCCATGGCCTTGATATCGGGGCGTTCACGAGCGACATGGCGATATTTGGGTGTGTCGTAATCGCCAACAATAAGATGGGTTACGTCGGGTGTGAGATCGTATTTATGAATACCACCAAGCTCGGCAACTTTGGCAGCGATGCTAGTCTAGGCATGATGGGTCAGGAAACAGGACTCATGATAACTGACAAGTTTGAACGGTACTTACACGATGCTCAGCAGGAATACTTGTACAGCAGACGACGATGCCCTTGAGAGGTTCTGCTGGATCAATTTGTATATCTTCCTCTTCATTCGCGCGAGGTGAAGCCATCTTCAGTCCCTTTTGCCTGGCGGTTGCTGTGGTGTTGCAACTTGGACGTCGAAACTTGTTATTTTAATTGATATCAATCTTTTTGGAAACGCGTCGTGAACCAAAACCGCGTCAAGTGCTTAGACTGGGCCTAGACGTCATGACACAGGCGGGGGTCTTCCCTACAATGGAACTGGCACTGTATGCATGCACTATAAACTGCTGTAACTAGCACTAAATGGCGAAAAGTACAGTGCGAGAACAGCAGCACAGATCATGAATGGATGATAACTTCATTCCTACGAGATAAAGTACAGAATCATCCGAATTTTTCACTGTGGATCAGAAAACGCCAAGTCAAGTCCTATGGATAATTCCTAGACTCACGTGCAGAATAGCCGTTTCCAGAACTCAAAGAACCTTGACTCCATAACTCTACGGCTGGCCAAAAGCTGAGAATGAGATTTTGAGATTATTAAGCACATAATTCACGAAATTTAAGAAAGAAAATTAAATAACAAACTTTAGAACATGCTATTAAAATATCTTATTTGCGGCAAAATTATTTTATTATAAGATGTAATCAGTTAAGGCACCTTAAGACTACCATATCATTTACAAATGGATTACGGACCCCGTAAGGCATCCAGTCAAGCCCCGCTCATCACCTAAACTTCAACCCCACCATCAGCTAAGATCGCAGCCTTGTCGCGAACTGAAAGCTCAACCCCTCCATCTACACTTCTTCTTCATCTCCAACAACGACTTTCCGCCTTCCCCCTCGAACGTAAATCGATCGCAGCGGCGCAACCTCCATATGGGGAACTCCTTCCGATAAACACTTCCTCACCCTCCGACCCTAACTCTACGCCATCTCACCAAGATCGAACCAAGCATCTTCACCGTTCGATCACCACTGGGAGCCTAACCCCGAGCATCCTCCGTGGAACATTTCGATCGTATCGGCCGACGCTCGAGTATCCCAATAACCCGCTTGACGACTCGACTTCGATATCCTTGCAGAATCTTACCAACTAGCGACAAATCCGACGCCGTCAAGATGCCTCCACCATCTGCTGCCCAGCAGAAGGTTCTCATCGCCCAGTTCGTAGCTCTGACTGGTCAATCAGAGCGACAGGCTACCCGTGTACGTATTATCCGTGTTCACCTTCCTTATGTCGATCATCACGAACCAAGCTGGTCCCTGACGCGGATAAACCTCACGACAACCTAATGCTCTACACGGCATGGCTTGGGCTATGGATGCATCGGCCTGTGTTTCAGCGGCGCCTATTTAGCCAGGAGTTGTATCATCATGATTATATGGTATGGAGTTGCTAACATCCGCTCTAATAGTACCTCAAGAATGCAGGTTTCAAGCTCAACGAAGCTGTCGATACGTAAGTTCTTGCCGTTTTTTCTTCTTCTATTCTTTGTGCTTGTCATGATACCCGCCGCCTATGTCTACTGGCACAATGCTCCCTGCTACATCCGGATACGGATATGTCTATATTGAGCAGCTTCCGGCTATTGTTTGCCCATTGTATCCCGTCACTGTCGCCTGGCCCACTATTGCCCGTCTCATTTGCAGAGTATGACCGACAAAGACGCCGATAGTCTTAGACAAGGTTACTTGTAGATCTGGTGCTATTGAGGGGTCTTGAATACGTTACCTCGAGGACATGCGTTGCTTATACTTCTATCAAATTCCCAGACGGAAACCATGGGTATCTTGAAGTAGTTGGCACCCATGACCGGGCTTGTACAGACGCCTCCTACGTTGTTACAAAACATTCAAACCCTACTATTTTTCAGAGCCTTTGACCATTCGGCGCTTTGTGACCTATCGCAGTCACTCAAGCACAGTCTGGCCAACTGAGAAGATGGGATGGAAAAGTTTCAAGAAGCGCATCACGACCGGGGTTCCTATCTTGTCCTCTATCAAGGAGGCCGGCAAAGATACCCCTGGATCGTCTCATCAGACAGGATCTGAACAAACACCAAAGAACTCGAATTCTCGGTATATCACCTTGGTCTGTTAAATAGTTGTGTTATGTGTTAGCTGAGGTGGCCACAGCAGCACGCATAGTTACTGTTGGCCATTACACTGGCCCCTTGCTCGGAGCCCTTCACTATTTCAACATTACCTTATGGCATCGACTAACACACGTGGAATAGGTTCTTTTCATCCAATGGTGACCTTAAGGGCCCGTCGCCTCTAGAGGCATCGCTAGACAAGCTATTCTCCCAGTTGCAGGGTGTGTATGGTCCTCTCAATTCGCCAGGTTCCTTAGCTTACATCTTCAACTAGACTCTAGCGATGAAAAGGACAAACTCGAGCTCGACTCCACAATGTCGTACCTCACTGAGAAGTTACAAGTCAACATCGAAAACGCCGAGCTACTTATCGCGCTTGAACTTCTCCAGGCTCCCTCTGTGGGCGTCATCACCAGAAGAGGTTACGTTGATGGCTGGAAAGTGACTGGGTAAGAGATCACCCCAGCCTGCTATTGACACCAAAACCAATACATGGCCAGACTTCCTCTGTCGAATTTATTGCTGATTTGATACAGAGCTGGAACGACACATCAAGAGCATGCCGCCCATCTCCGAAAACTGACCAAATCCCTCTCTTCTGACCCGACGCTATTCAAAAAGGTCTATAGACATACCTTTGTTGCTGGTCGAGATGGCGACCAGAAAGCACTGAACCTTGAGACTGCACTCGTTTACTGGGACATCCTGTTTGCACCTCCTGGAATGGAGTGGAAGACAGCAAACCACAACTGGCTGGAACTGTGGAAGTCCTTCCTCAATGCCAAGTGGACTCGTTCAGTCAACAAGGACATGTGGAACATGACACTCGAGTTCGCTCTTAAGTCTTTATCTGATGAGTCACTATCATTTTGGAACGAGGATGGCGCGTGGCCAAGTGTGATTGACGACTTTGTGGATTGGTGTCGTGAGCAGGGCATTGGTAAGACCGATGGCATGGACGTTGACAACTAGGGAAGCGGCAAACTCATTGGCTCACAACACGAAACGGAGCCCATAGAAGACCTGGGCTGCTGCGGCTTCGATTCCGATATCCACATACCACTGTATACAGGCAGGGCACATCGTTCAGGCGCCAACCGGACACCTGGGAAGCGGGTTGCGTTTCTAGAAAGACAGCTTTAACCAAGAGCACCCGGACCATCGGTGTGGTTGTAATTGATGATTTATGATAGACATGCAGTAACAGAATAGAATACATTCATGTTACCAGTGTTTCAGTGTGATATGTGTTTTGAACCCTTGGTGAGATTCATCCACGCATCGGTTCCTTCAGAACGTGACAAGTACATGATGAAGCGAATGCAGAGTTTGAAGTTCTATAATATCTCATACAACCATGGCTGCTATCTTCAGACGCAGCGTCGTTTTTGTACACGGCATCGTGTGATGCCTGAGCCTAGGGCTGAGTCTTTTCTCGGACTCTGACGCCCACACCCTTATTCGAGGCTCGTTCATGTATACTACATGATAATTTCCTGCTCCTTCGTTGTCGTTATCAAAGCCATTTGCCATCCATACATATCATCTTTGAATCATCTTTCCTCTCCCCTTATGCCTCACTACCAGTCGTCTTCCACTTGGGCGGTCCAAATCGAGCTAATGACTCAAGCTTTCCGTCTCCGAGCTTGACATGGGCGGCGCGAATCATACGGGGCTCGAGGCGCAATGTGTTTCGTACGTCTTGGTGGACCTTTGAAGCGGCATCGTATCGCATGACGAAGTAATGGCCGTGTGTGTGCTTCATCTGATGCACTGAGATAGGCTTCGGTAGGGAGAAGACACCCCAGTTGGCGAGACCGCGGACGACACCGCCATTCTTGAGGACGAGGGAGCCGACGGTTTGGGCGATTCTGCGTTGGTTAGTTGAGATTGGTTGATGATTCGATGTGAGGAACGTACTCCTTCACCTCCGAGAGGCTGCCCGGTCGGACCTGATTTCGGTTAGCTCTAATGCATGTGAAGAGAGAGAGGAAGTTCGTACAATTGCAATTAGTTCGTAGAGCATCTTGGTGATGACATCTACAATAAGAATGGTATTGTCGCGGAATAATTCGATGTCGCCCAAGCTGGATGAATTTCTGGCGGATCTCGAATTTTGGGTTCCGAGGATTAGCCACTTCAGCTGGTGGGAGCTCATGACAAGTGGGGCATTTCATGGCAGCTTGACTCTTCAACATCACAAGATATCATTATACTCGATTTCATCGTCATTCATGATATTCTAAACACGATGCCTTCTATGTTACAGGCTTTTTTGCTAAAGTTCACTCGAGATTTATCTCGAAATTGGTGATGTTCCACATTTAGATCCGCTCCTTGGACAAGGCCTGCCAGATACTCCAAGGTAATTTCCAGCCAGCGGTTTTGACAGCGAATGGGTTGAAATCTGCTTGCTCTAGACGTTGCAAGTACTGCGCCGAAGGGATAGCTTCAAGAAGAACTCCAAATCCCTGGCGAATCTCTCTCAATGTGTTGCTTCCCTCGGTATAGAAATGCTCAGCTTCTCCTCGATGCTCGAACTCATGACCTGGGTCCTCTCCGGCCTTGAGTCGCTTGAGCATCTCTCGTGCCGTGATGAGGTGGTCATTGGCTCGTGTCGCGACCTGGAATACAGCATCTTGAAGTCCGGATGCATTGGGTCCTTGTCTAAAGACCTCTTCCTCCTTGACTCCTGCTTCAGCCATAGCATCCAATGGCAGAAGAAGCGCAGGCTCTCGTACAGCTGGAACCTGGCCAGAAGGTGTATTTACTGGAGGTGGAGGTGCTGCCAGAACAGGGATGCCACGCAGAACCGCAGCAATGCCACAAGCCTTTCCAATATGACTTGCGAGATGGTCGACATGCATTGATCTCAGTGGAAGTGATGCTAATGTCGCATACATAAGAGTCGAATATGTATTTTCAGCATACTCCTCCAAGCTCGCCAAATTCGCAAAAGGCCTGTTCGTCATATGCTTCTCTCTTGTTTTTATTAATCTCGAGATCCAGAATTTTATCGATTTCTTGGTAGAATTGCCATCACGGTCCTCTAGATCTTGTAGACTCTTGTGAAGGAGAATGCAAATAGGTTCGCGAGGGGGACGACCCGCGAAAGTGTTGTCAATGGATTCTTGCCAGAACTTCATTCGAAAGGATCCAATCGTAGGGTTAGAAACGAGCTCAGGGAGGCGAACAAGCTCAAGATTAAGAGTACGGAGAGCAGCGTAAGTGTCTTGTACTGGAGAGGGGACGAAGCGGCGAATGAGATGAGCATCATAGTCGCTATTTCTGAGCACTGTTAGACTAGGTCGCTTAAAGATGCAGATGGTCTTACTGTAACTGTGTCAAGCAGTATCTTCTTGCAGATTCAACATCCGCATCCGTGATATATGTTCGACGACATGTCCGGGCATGGGTGAAGCCCCGAAGGCTCTGGCCCAATAGCCTTGGGCGATACATTGTAATGGTGAGTCCTCAACGATTATTGAGTTACAATTGACTTTTAATAACCGTTATTACCTCAATAACAATGCAATTGATCTTGATATAATGAACATGACGGTCTTGCGACTGAGACACGGCCACCCATAGACGTCGGATTTCCAATCGTCCTCAGTGAATTTTTCATGACGTCGAGCTTTGCCTCGCCACAGCATCAGCCACATTAATTAACACGAAATGACGAGATGGAAGGAACCACTTAAACACGGGATCAGGTGATCCTTCCACGCGCAGTCGCGCCTGCAGGGGTTTGTCGCGTCTCCCAGAAAGTCCAGCTCTGGTCCCAAAGAGCTCTTTTGGGGCATCAACATTTTTGGCTCAACGCTCTATGAGAAAAGGTCTTTAGTCATGACACTTTCTTACCAAGAAAAGCACCCAGATGATCAGATAGATCCAGAACCTCCCGCAAAAAGAAGAAGATTTTTTGCAGACCCAGATGAACTTTCTTCAGACCCTGTCTCTCATGACCAGTCCCCACTACCGCAGCCGAAACGATTCTTTAAAGATGACGATAATATCGAGGAAGACCGGTACAAAGACAATTTAGACGAAATACACGACGATGAACTCCCAGTTACATCTCCTTCGCGGCCACCTGCGCTCCAACAGGAGTCATCTGTCTCCTTTGACCAAGAGACATTCGAAGCTTTCGTCGGTGACAAGGTCTCTACTGAGGTTCTCTCAGCCATAAGAGACCACTGTGGGAATGATCTCGAACGAGCGGTTAATATGTACTTTGATGGAACATACAAAAAGTTTATGAAGAAGCCATCATGGAAAGCACCCTTAAGACCTGCCTCTACCGCCAGCTCTAGTCGGTCGCCAAGCGTCCCTAACGAGCGCAAACCAAATGTCAAGACAAGTCAAAGAATGCCGAAACAACGATATATAGGAGCATTTGGTGTTGAAGGATGGGCTACACGAAGCGGAGTTAATGTATTAAAGCACGGCGACATCGTTAAAATCGAGCGACAAAAATTACAGCCACCCCAATCTGTCAGAGGGAGGGGAAAGGCTGGACCAGTCACACCTTCAAGAGGATTTGCCGCTGCTGCTGCAAGGCGAGTTGATGTTATCGTGCGCTTCACCACTCAAAACGGCACAGAAGTTGGACGACTGGCGAAGGAGACAGCAAATTGGGTCTCAGCTCTGATCGACCAAAAGGTGTGCAGGTTCGAAGGAACTGTAGTCTACGCCCCTGAGAGACTTCGAACGAACGACACGATTTTCCTACAATTGCGATGCTCATTACTCGACTCTGCCTTCTTCAGCCGCTCATTCAAACTCGCTGACGACCGATCGGCTGCTTTCTTTGAACAAAACGAGACGAACGATGAGAAGACGCTTCGACTACGACAAGTCGCCCTGGTCAAATTGTTTCAAGAGATCAATTTACAGCCCACTATGTCGAACTCTGCTGCGAAAGATGGCCGTAAGGGGCTACTCCAAGCCGCTGAGCAAGACGAGCAGAAGCAAAAGGAGGCTAAGAAGGCAAATGGAAATACAAATGGAAATACAAATGGAAACGGCAAGGAAGCCAGCTCATCCCAGTCGTCCGAGACCGAAGAAGGAGAAGAGCTGGAACAGGATCAGCTCGATGCGCTTTACAAGAAGGCCCAGTCCTTCGATTTTAGCACCCCTGAAGCGGAGCCAGCAGATACCTTTGCTATGACACTGCGATCATATCAGAAACAAGCGCTACACTGGATGATGGCGAAAGAGAAGGACGAGAAGAGCAATCGGGAACCATCTATGCACCCTCTTTGGGAAGAGTACGATTGGCCATTGAAGGACGTCGATGATAAAGACGTACCTCAGGTCGAGGGACAGCCGAAGTTCTACGTCAATCCATATTCTGGCGACTTGTCCCTTGACTTCCCAGTTCAAGAACAGCATTGTCTGGGTGGTATTCTTGCCGATGAAATGGGTCTCGGCAAGACTATCCAAATGCTAAGCTTGGTGCACACACACAGATCCGAGATTGCTCTTCAAGCTCGCCAAGCAACTGTTGAGCTCTCTAGCGTGAACCAGCTTACCAGACTGGGCAAGAACTCAGAGTCGGTTCTTGATGCGCCATGCACAACGTTGGTAGTAGCACCCATGTCGCTATTGTCGCAATGGCAAAGCGAAGCGGTCAAGGCTTCCAAGGACGGAACAATGAAGATTGAGTTATACTACGGCAACGAGAAGTCAAGCAATCTGCAAGCACTCTGTTGTGCTTCCAACGCATCCAACGCTCCAGACCTGGTGATTACTAGTTATGGTGTTGTTCTATCCGAGTTCAGTAGCATAGCTGCCAGAAACGGGGACAAGAGCTTTCATAACGGCCTCTTCTCGCTAAAGTTCTTCCGCATCATTATCGATGAAGCACACCATATCAAGAACAGATCTTCGAAGACTGCAAAGGCTTGCTACGAAATTTCGGCCTACCATCGATGGGCTCTCACGGGAACTCCTATCGTCAACAAATTAGAAGACTTGTTTAGTCTTGTCAGATTCCTAGGCGTAGAACCTTGGAACAACTTCTCATTCTGGCGAACTTTCATTACTGTGCCTTTCGAATCAGGAGACTTTATGCGGGCTTTGGATGTTGTGCAAACAGTCCTAGAGCCTCTCGTACTCCGACGTACAAAGGACATGAAAACACCCGACGGCAAACCGCTTGTGCTACTACCACCTAAGCAAATCGAAATTGTTGATGTGGAGCTATCGGAAACGGAACGAGATGTGTATAGTTACATCTTCAACAAGGCGAAACGAACGTTTTCGCAGAACGTTGAAGCGGGTACTGTCATGAAGGCTTTTACCACCATCTTTGCACAGATACTGCGTCTTCGCCAATCTTGCTGTCATCCCATCCTCGTCCGCAATCGCGATATCGTGGCAGACGAGGAAGAAGCTGGAGCTGCTGCCGATGCCGCTGCTGGACTTGCAGATGATATGGACCTTGAGTCGCTCATCACTTCTTTCACGGCAGAGACAGATGAAGCTTCGAAGGAGACTAACCAGACCTTCGGTGCTCATGCCTTGGAACAGATCCGTGATGAGGCGGAGAATGAATGCCCTCTATGCTTTGAAGAGCCGATGAATGATCAGACCGTGACTGGCTGCTGGCACTCTGCGTGCAAAAGGTGTTTGCTTGATTACATCAAGCATCAGACTGGCAAGGGCGAAGTGCCTCGATGTTTCAGTTGTCGTGAGCCGATCAACAAACGTGATCTGTTTGAGGTTGTTCGGCACGACGACGATCCTGATATGATGTCGAAGAAGCCTAAGATCAGCCTGCAACGAGTTGGTGTCAATGCCTCTTCAGCAAAGGTTGTTGCACTAATGTCTGAATTGCGGAGTCTGAGACGAGAACATCCCAAGATGAAGTCTGTTGTGTTCTCCCAGTTCACATCTTTTCTTAGCCTTATCGAGCCTGCTCTCACTCGTGCGAACATCAAGTTCCTGCGATTAGATGGATCTATGGCCCAGAAAGCTCGAGCGGCTGTGCTTAACGAGTTCACCGAGAGAAAAGGGTTTACAATCCTATTGCTAAGTTTGCGCGCTGGTGGTGTCGGACTGAATCTGACGAGCGCTGGCCGAGTATTCATGATGGATCCCTGGTGGAGTTTTGCAGTCGAGGCTCAAGCCATCGACCGAGTACACAGAATGGGACAAGAGTCGGAAGTACAAGTCAAGAGATTTGTGGTCAAGGAGAGTGTGGAAGAGCGGATGCTGAAGGTCCAGGAGCGGAAGAAGTTCATGTGAGTTTTGCTGATGGTGAGAGTATCAGAGCGCAGCTAACATTTGAAACAGTGCAACCTCTTTGGGCATGATGAGTGATGAAGAGAAGAAGCTCCAACGTATCGAAGATATCAAGGAGTTGTTGAGCTAGTAGGAGCGTGTATATTTGCTGCATGCATTGCTTGGTTTGTTTCTGCATATTTCTCAGTGCTAGACATGATGGCTGTGGCACGAATGCATTTGCAAGGCGTCTGGGACATAAATGGGATACGAATAGTAGTATAGAAGGCATGAAAATAGCAGGCAGCCCGTTTGACAAGATAGGTCGTGGCAAGGCCTGATGGAGTCTGGTTGGCTGGGTTTGAAGTTGAGATCAGAGAACACCAGCATCTGATGAACAAGCCTGACATGAAGTCAATCACGATAGTTTAGGCATTTAAAAATATATGAAACTTAATCATCTCTCCTAGTCAGGACTTTATATTTTGAGGAACAAAGCGATCATTTGGTGCTGAATTTTGGTCATGGTGATGTCTCAGCGCGGTCATGTTCCTGCATTGCCGCAATAGGCGCGTGACCAGAGGCCTATGAATGTATCATCCTCAGTCTCAGCCATCACAAACCTGACGCGACTCACCTGACTTGGTACCTCATGGGTACAAGATGACTGAAATATTCAACTTTGACATATTTAAATCGTCGGATGGCCGCCAGGTGGCTGCTGTCACTATGGCAGTGTTGTGTCACAGAGTATACATATATAGGCGACTGCATATCCGCTACACAAGTCGTTTGCCTGGTTAATCTGCACTTTCTCTCGATTAATCACTCTCTTTGAGCATATCTACAACCTGGATCACCCTTCGTCAAGGTCTGGAGAAGTAGTCGAGGGACCGAGCAACGACGTTGCTGCAGCTCACGACTCGATCTCTCACAAGGACCCAGAGATCAAGCAAGAGTCTGAGGACGAGCTAGAAGAGACACAAGTTGGCGAAATTGAAGACGATACAAAGTCTATATCCAAGGAGAACTTCAAAGACCAAGACGACGAGTACGATAGTGACGACGAGCATCATCTTTGCTCTGTACTTCTCTACTTTATATCAAAGACTCTTCTGAACCATCTCAGAGACGAACCTGAAGATACACCGATGGACCGCTTTGCCGAACAGTTCTTCGGTCGCCAGGACCAGTCTTCACGTTCTCGACCTCCTGAGGATCCCAGCTTCATGGAGACATTCGCAAAGAACTTGGCCAAATCCGCTGCAAAGTCGGCCGCCAGACGAGCCATGGGTCAATCTTCATCTGAGAAGCGAACTCGCGATGGTACACGAAGCGGAAATCAGATCAACCCTGAAGATTTCCGTGGTGTAGCTGAGTTCGTTCTCGGTATGCTTGGCGGCAAGAATGAACAGCCGAGACGAGATGATGATCGCAAGAAGGATAAGAAGAGAAAGAGAGATAAAGATAAGGTGAGGAGCAGAGAAGCACCGAGGAGTAGGGATGTTGAAGATGACGGTGATAAATACGGATCTGATAAGGAACGTCGAAAGAGACGTCGTCACCGCGTTACCTTCGCAGAGCCATACTACGAGTCTCCCCGTCCAGAAGAAACTTACTATGCTCAACCCTACGAGCCTCGTCGCGACGGAGACAAAGAAGAGCGCCGCCGCCGTCGTCGTCAACGTCGATACAAGCGAGACTTGGATCTCAAGACACTCAAGACAGAGTTAGAAGCAATGTCGAGCACTATAATCTCTTTGAATGCACGGGGCGCCAAACATCGGGACTGCGAGTTTTATGATCGCTTTGTAAGAAAGGGCGGGAGGTTGCAGGATGTTATTGGGAGTACGTTGGGACAGATCAGGGGGGTTATGGAGGGTGAGGTCGAAGCGGAAGAGAGAAGACGACGGAGGGATCGGAGGAGGGAGATGCGATGATATCGATTGGCATTGGATGATTAGTTTGTTATTTTATTGTGGTTTTGCAAACATGTTAGGCAATCTTCTAGAATTTATATGTGTTACGACAAAGAACTTTCTCAAGCTTGATAGACTGCATGAGTAATCGGTGCCTTGCAGATGTTTGGGGGGATGCTTGTTTGCATGTTCATATAGACAAAGGAAACGGTTCTGCGTTTGTAGTATATGGAAGAGAGGAATAAGTCATTTGTTCGTTTCAACTAGCGAAGCATGATAATGGACATGATATGTCGCTGCAGTCGACAGTCGAGACACCAGATTATTCTCTGAGTATATAGATATTGTACTCGCTGTCTTTCTATCCGTCAATAATGCATTATCAGTGTCATATTCATCGACAGTCTCGTTTCATTCATAATGCCTTCCATCAGTCTCACTCACGACCCAACACTTCTCAACCACCTGGCACCATATATCACAACAGATACACACTATACAGAGCCGATAACTCGAGCCTACAATCATACCAATGACTTCAAGCCTATCCTATCAAGAGCTCTTCACAAGCTCCACCGTCGAGACACAGCTCCGGAAATTATAGGGATAGTCGTCGGTTTGACTCTTCTCGCCACTATCATCGGGGTCGGCTTATTTGTATGGAACTGGAACATCTTCAGGCGGCTCAAGACGAACAGGGTCCAGAGACAACACCATCGTCGTCAGTCGCGCCGTCGACATCATACCATAGGACATTTCAATGCAAGTGTCGAGGATGGCCCTCAAGATATCGAGCTTGAGCCTCATGAACATCACCGCCACGGAGTCCATCACCATCCTAGCTGCCGACACCATAGGCTTCACCACGGACATCGACATCATCATTCAGGTCCTCGACGACCGGAGCCGATATTTCAGATGCCCAATCCCTGTCATCGACATCCACTTCACCCACCGAATGAGATGGACGCACCGCAGATACATGAAGGGTTGAACATCCCTTACTTGTTTGGACACCGTCGTCATAGGAGGGATAGGGATGTTGTTTCTGTTTGTTAGCTCAAAGCACATGAAGAGGGATAGAACGTATGATACACCTGGAAGAGATAACAGGGAAGCTTATAGAAATGTCAAAGACGAATAATTTGGGCTAATAGAATACAAACGATACGATACATGAATCCAATTACACGGACATGCCCTGGCACTGTTGCTTTTCGGAGTGAAGGAACGAAACACTAATACATCCAAGAAATAGAAGAATCTAAGCATGTATTAGCCTCAATCCATATATGTGAGAGTACGGGGACAGTAATTACTTACCAAAAGACAGGGCTTCTCCCCCTACTACCCATCTGCCGGCTTATCAGGTGGAGGCGGAGGTGCATCATCCGCAGGAGCAGCACTCCTATCAGAATGCCTCGAGCCTCCACTGCTCATCGACTTATGTCTCCTATGATGATGGTGATGATGATGATGATGCCGACGATGTTTCTTCTTCCTAAAAGTAAACCTTGCAGATCTGTAGTAGAAGTACAAAAAGGTGATGACTATAGCCAGGAACGCAGCAAGGGTAAAGCCAACGATGAGCCCAATCTTGATGTTGATATTTGTAGTTGGGTTATCAGAGAATTGTCTCCTTATAAGAGTGGGATGTTGGCTAATATGACTGAAGGGGTTCGTGAGTGGATGAAGAATGGCTGGGGATCCATGGCGTTGGGCAGCCTGCAGATGAGGCGAGGACATAGGGATATACATCAATCTCACAGATCTCAAGCAGAACAGAGTCAAAACATTGACATGAACGTGCAAAGGGGGCGTCTAACGACACCAAAATCAACAAAACATGATGCAGACAAGATACTTATCTCTTAGGATGAGGCCTGAAGGGATAGATATTTAAGTTTACGTCTACGATAACGGGATCAGGCAGAAATATGGCAATTGAACATGGTGTGAGAGAGATGTTTCTCGAGGAACGACATTAAGGAGGGATGCATGCATATAGGCGCTGCAGCCCGACGAGTGTAGTGAGAGTAAGACGTGCATTCATGTTCCAATCAATGGGTTCCGAGGCGAGGTTTGTGCGGCGATGGCTACTGTTACGGTTGACTTGCGGGGGGGGTGAGAATGTTGTGTGATGTGAGTTGTAGTATGGATAAAAGGAAGTAAATGTGTATATATAAAGAGGGCAGAGAGTTATATGATATGAGGCTGTGACTATGCTGCTTGTTGTGATATTAGACAGATTTTGCTTGATCTAGCAGCAGAAAGGCTGAAACATATACACGAATATACAAAGTCGAAGAATAAATAAAGGAACAAGAACCAAAAGTCATCTGCCGTGGCTTCAATGCCAACGCATCAATCGGCCATTTGAGGCATTCGATCAACGTCTCGTTACCAATCGTACGACACCATTCAACGACGCATGCACGTTGTATCGCTATAGAATACATGATTGGATATGTCAGAATGTAACATGATATCAAGCACGTACCAAGACCTGGAGAAGTACATATCTATCGTGTTGACATCACGTCACTCTACCCATGAACGCCCATAGTCTAGAGCTGAAGCCATAGCCAAAGAAGGATCATGGCGCATCATGACCGTATTTGCTTTTTTCTGAGGCTCAACTAACACTAGCATAACCTCCAATATCATTCTGCATTAATTCATTATTTCTTCTTTTCCTCCAGTAAACAACATTCAAAAGGTTGAGCGTTTTTACTTACCCCTGTCAACCCCCCTTGAAAATATTCAGGGGATGGAAACCGCCTCACTTACACGACAGACAGGGCCATGACTCGGCTGAGCGGATCATCATGAGCACTTGACAAAGAGTTTACCATACTATCAGATCGCTTATTATTAGCTACAGCAGTAGACTACAATCCTATCGGCACTAATCCGTGTATTCCGGACATAGTCTCCGCTCTATCGTTATTTGATCAACAGAGGGAAATGACCCAAGTTCACTCCGAGAGGGCTGAGTTTTAGAGGGCTGAAGATGTATTGACCACCTGTTCGTTGACAACATGATGCAACGGATAGGTACATGCATTTACGATGCTCTACAGTATTCAATGCTGATCAACATGACCAAAATCAGCGGCTCATCAACTATAGAACCATAAGACTCGTTTAAACTGAACCCCCCGCTTAATTATTGACCGTACAGGTAGTATTGGGGCACTATGTACGAGTCAAAGCGCAATTCCCACCTCTCCTCTCCTCACTTTCAGCTCCAGTCCAGATTGCCGAGAAGCAGCACGCACGCATTGCATTACCTGTAAAAGTCAAGCCCCTCAATAGACTATTCGATCATAAAAAGACTCGTTCTTCCTCTCAGCTCATTCTCTCTATAAATCATCAATCTTTACCATATCAGCTCCACAAGTGGTTCTGTGGCTTGCTACAACCCCCACGTGTTATCATCAACCTCTTATATCGCGTGTTTATCACTGCAATATACATTATACATATAACCATAAGGGTAATCACCTTTATGGTCACTCATCGATCACTCTATCATGAAACATAACAACAACGTCAGACTTCTCGCTGTCCTCGCAGACCCTGAATCAGATGAGAAGAGCGAATATCGCTTCCTCGTCGACGGCGCTCACGTAAGATACGTCACACTAGACGGGGGTCTCATAGACCCAGAACATCGCACATACGAGCCAAAACTCCTCCCTCAACTCCCTGTATTTCCACCTGGAGACTGGAACGAGGGCCGTGTCGGAAAGGACGGACACACAGGGAAGCCTTTCTTCTGCGAGACGAGAAGAAGTAGTTTGCCTGGGATTGGAAATGTTTGGCATGATGTTATGATAGATCATCTTGAGCTCCGCCAGATCGAGCGTGTGCGCCAAACGCTCTATCGTGTATCGCACCCTACTTTCAAGACACCGGTACTAGCAAAGTTTGCGCAGTTTCCATGGGAGATTCCTTATTTTGCTGCTGAGACGACTTCGTACGAATGGATTCACGGTCAAGGCATTGGTCCCGAATTCCTCGGGCATATTCATGAGAACGGGCGAGTTATCGGGTTCCTACTCGAAGAGATTCACAATGCTCGGACAGCAGAACCTGAAGATCTCGCCACATGCCAACGCAGTCTACAAAAACTGCATGATCTAGGCATCGTACACGGCGATATCAACAAGCACAACTTTCTCATCAGACAAGATGGTGACGCCGTTCTCATCGACTTCGAGACAGCCCACAAGTGCACGGATTCAGATCTGCTAGATGAAGAGTATCGGCATGTCAAAGAGAGTCTGGAAGATACATCAGGGCGTGGAGGAGCAGGCATGGCGAGTGATTCAAGTTCAGATTGAGTGGGATATGAGTATACGGATTACAGTACAGTATAGTATCACATGTGCAACAGGCTTTTCATCACGAATAACAGGCGTTATCTTTTTCTGATACCAGGGTATAGAACAAATGTCAATTTATCTCGTTGACTAATAAATAAGAATTTTTAAAAACGTGCCCGATTTCCAAGGGTCTATCAAGCCCAAGAAACACCAAAAGCGCCATGAAGAAGAAAAGAATAGTACAGTGAACATCTCCGAGATTAGTTCAGGAGGATCTGCTGCACATACTGAGGTCCGAACAAAGGCTCGCCAAACGCAGAGCCAGGAAGAGTAGCAACAGGCTTCTCAGCAAGCTTGCCGTCAGAGCCTCGCTGAAGGGCGACGAGACCGCTGGTACCGTTCTGGTTACCAACGAAAACGTGCTTAGCAGTTCGGCTGAAGCTCATCATACGGGGAAGAAGACCACCGGATGAGACGGTATCAGCATATGTTAGAGTCCCGCACTCAGCGATGGTGAAGCGAGCGATAGAGTCGGTCTCGTTTCCGGACAGACGGTTCGAGATGTAAACGTCCTTGTTGTTAGGAGCGAGAAGAATCTCACCAACGGCGGCGGTCTTAGGGTCCTTAGCAGGAGCATCCTTGCCGTAGGTAGAGATGGACTGGTGGTGCTTGAAAGCAAGGGTGTTCTCTTCGTAGGAGACAGAGTAAACGAGGGCCTGGTTGCTCAGCTCACAGGCAACGATGTAGTGGGTAGCCTTCTTTCCACCACGAGGGTAGAAGACACCATGTCGAGGACCGCAGCCAGCCTCGACGGGAATGTTCTTAGCGATCTTGTAAGCATCGTCCTTGGAGTCGATGATGACAACAGAGTCAGTGCCGAGATCGTTAACGGCAAAGTAGCGACCAGAAGGATCAAGGTTAGCCTGATGAGGATGAGAAGCAGCCTGGCGCTCCTTATCAGGACCAAGCTTTCCAGGAGATTTGAGGGTCTTGACGAACTCCAGGCCGCCCTTCTCAGTGTTCCAAACATCAATGGTACCATTTCCATAAGCGGCACCAACAAGACGTGTCTTATCCGAGTTAAACTCAAGATGAACAACGCCGATACTTCCGGCCTTCTTAGTCTTGAGGGTAAGCTTATTAGCCTCGAGATCAAGATTGAAGAGTCTCAGCTCATCAGAGTTCTCGTCAACGGCGTAGAGCAGGTTGGGGTCATAGTAGGCCATCCATGAGTTACCGCCCTCGATCTCCTGGTTCAGAGTGAGCTCGAACTTGCCCGTCTTGGGGCTGAAGTCGGCGACGTAGATGTGGCCAGAGTTGCCGAGGAGGATGCGCGCAGCAGCGGATGAAGATGCTGAGGCGGTGGGGTATGAGCTGCGTGCGATGTTAGGAAGCGCAGAGGCAGATGTAGCGAGAGTGGCCAAGAGGCCAGCGATAGTGTACTTCATTGTGTTGTGTGAAGCGTCGAATGTTTTGTTTCGTTTCAAAGTCGTAGTAGTGAGTCTGATACAGTAAGGTAGTAAGTAGTAGTATACTGTAATAGCGATCGACAATCAATATCGAATGGGGGTATCAAAGGTGAAAAAGCCAGAAAAGTCTATAAAAGAAACAGGAACCAGTCCAATCTTTTTAAGATTCGAAAAAAGTATAAAATAGTCGAGAGCGTGTAATTTTAATGAAGGGAGGCTGATGTTTGCAAAAAAGGATTGCGGCTGTGAGAAATAGAGTGTCCAAGGATCAATGGCTGGGGGTTGAGAATATATAGCTACAGGTGTAAGCCTCAGCCTCAAAGACCTAGACCAGGTAGTGAACCATTCTCACAAAGGACTGTGATCCATGCAGATGCACAGTCATTGGAACAAGAGAAATCCCCTCGAAGAGCAACCTTGTCAAGCTTGTTCACTGGCGAAAAAGCGAACATCCCATTCCATTCAGTGGAGGCGCAGCTTCAGTGATTGGAAGAACAGCGATCAACTGCTGATCAGGGGTACTGAGAAAGAAGGTACTGTAGGGGCTGTGCTACAGTGGCTGTAGGGCTGTTAGCCAGTGAATGTTCACGGCAACATGAAACGAAACGGATACCACAGTCAGCAAACACACCTGTCGAGTTTCACCACTGATCCTCCGCCCATAACAATTGGCTCAGAGCATAGCGACTCCAGCGCTTAGAGGCTGAGATGCAGGGGGTTCGCGTTTATAGAAGACTGCCAAGATGAGAAGGGATTGGATCAGCGGTAAAGCAAACGCTCAGCCCTTGCGGCCCTTTTTCTCCGACCCGATAGTCTCAGGTCAAATGATGCCATTCGATGTTCAGAGTAGGGCTGAATTGGTTGGCCATTCTTTGAGGCCATGGTTTGTCTCTATCCTCCACCCTTTGACTAATAGTGATGCTTATTCGGTTTACTTTACTACAGGTCAGAATCAATTATAATCCGCTAGACTAATCCTTCGTTTACTACGTGAGATTTTAGACCTGTCATCTCAACATGGATGTCCGAAGGAGTCTGTCTGACCCGTTCTCTACTAAATCCCAAACATACATACATCTCCATAACAAGGCGCATAGACCAGATGATTACCTATTTAAACAACCAAGCCGCCCAATATTCTTCACATGCCATCACATGCACAGCAAAAAGATGCCTCATTTAAAAAAAGCCCATGCAATACCATTTACCATTATTATCCCTCTACTAACAGAATATGGACACATGAAAGAGAAGAAATTACATACAAAATCTCAATGCCGACCCTCATGAAATGCTAAACAGGAAACGTGCAGTGAGATGCTATATAATAGTGGTAAGAAAAAAGAGAGATTAATGGGAGGAGTCGCAGGACGGACATCAAACGCCATCATTGACTACAGCCAGAACAGAGCACCACCGGCAATGATGATGGCCAGAGCACTTGCGCCGTTCCGTGTGCCCGCGTTGGAACCCTTTCCATCATCTGAGCTGCTGCTGCTCTTGCTAGAGCTAGAGCTAGAGCTAGAGCTGGCGCAGTCTTGGTTGAAGCTGTTGGTCTCACAGTTGGTGGTGTCAGCGGGCTCAGTGTCATCTGTGCTGCCGTCAGGGTTACCCTTGGGGGCACTGCTAGAACCGGAACCGGAACCAGAGCTGCTGTCATCGCTGCTATCGTCTCCGTGGTCGTTGGAAGGCGCGCCGCTGCTGCCGCCAGGAATAGTGGCGGGTTCATCATCATCGTCCTTATCCTTGCTGTCCTTGCTGTCCTTGCTATCCTTATCGTCCTTGTCATCATCCTTGCTATCCTTCTTCTTGTCCTCCTTCTTTCCCTTGTCCATGTCCTCGCCGGTGGCCATCAAAGACGCAATAGTGTGTCTCTTGTCACCGTCGACAATGGTGTCGTTGGTGCCAGCAGCATCCTTGTACCAGTAGCTAGTACCCGAGTTGGAGCCAGGACCAGACTTGGCGTTGAAGCATTGGATCTCAACATCGGAGAAGGTGGCAAAGTAGTAACCGCTCTTCTGAATATCGGGAGCGTCCCAGTCGATAGGACCTCCAGCCCATGCTACAGTGCCTTCAGCGTTACCCTCCTTACCACCAGGCCACAGAGATAGCTGCACGCGAGAGGGTGTTTGAGGGAAGTCAAAGTTCTTAGAGGTGGCATTCCAGGTATCACTCTTCTGCAGGGTTCGGCCGAGCTTGCCATCAACCCACCACTCAATCTTGTCAGGGGTCCATCGGATTTCGTAATCGTGAAAGTTGGCAAAGGTATCAGACAGCGTAATGTTTTCGGAATTCTCGTCTATCAAAGTGTCAGCCGTGTCAGGTACAACACACAATCACGTGAGGATTCATGGCTGTGTGACGAACAAGGGGCTACCTTGTTGTGTGACGCTGGGACGACTTACAGTTGGTGATGCCCTGGAAGTAATAATTGGTCTGAGCATCGCCGAGCTCCGTACCAACAAATTCATAATCGATTTCATCCTTGACGTCAGAGAAGAGAATGAAAGCAGTAATAACACCAGCACCACGACTGGTCTTGAAGCGAGCCTTGACGTTACCATACCACATGTAGACAGTAGAAGACAGCAGAGTGCCAACACTGTCCTTGGGCATGGTAAGAAGAACGTTGTTCTGGAAAACAACAGGCTCGCCCTGTGCAACCCAGTCGGCCTTTGAAGAGTCACCAAGATACTTGCCGATATCGACAATTGAATCGAGGGAGTTCATCTTCATCTTGCGATCCTCGCAGACGGGGGCGGGAACACAAGAGTCGAGAGAGAAGGACATTGTAGGATCGCAACCACCAAGACAGTACGCACCAACACCGCATTCACCGTAGGCTGATACATGTCAGATATCAGAAATCATCAACTTCGTGCAGGGAACTTACTGGAGCAGCATGGCGAATCCTCGGGACAGTGGCTGCTGCGCGTGCACTTGACAGCAGCGACAGAGCTAGCGCCCAAAAGGGCAGCAACAACTAGAGATCGCAACATTATGAATATGAAATAGTCGAGTAGAAACAGATGTAACTGATGTGTTTGATGCGAGAGCGCCTTCAAATTAACGGTTCGGTATTATGGTATGATCTGATCTGATCGGGATATTAAGAGTAGATAAGGCGTTGAAGTGTCGAGAACAGGTAGCGACTGCTGTTGAATCGAGTAGGACGAAAACGACAGTCGAAACAACCCAGCAAGCGAGCGACTTGGGCTGTTGTCGATGATTAAAGGTGTATTTGCGTGGTGTTGATGGCGACCGTTTTATTAGGCTGCTGATTGACAGTTGAATCGAGTTAAAAGGGCGCGTCCTTGATCCGAAAGATTGTCCCTTTTCTAGAAATCTCCCTTGAATACGCAGGATTTTCCTTCTTAACGAGAGCGGAAGGATGTTGGACAACTCCACAGAAAGCGAGTGTCTGATTTGGAAATTATCGCGTAGATTCTACGTGTGCTTTTTCGATCGATCGGGACTCGATTGTGCGACTTGAGCGAGAGATAATAGCGAGAAGAAAACGATTGATAGTGCCACCGATGTCCTCCCTTGTGTATGAAGAAAGCAAACGATGAGCAAAACAGTGAAAAAGAAAAAAGAGGATTATCAAACACCACAGACAGACAGCGAAATCTGGGGAAAGGATAGAAGGGAAGAGGGATTAAAGAAAAGAAGCGAATCTCTCAAAGAAGAAGGCCGAACAGAATAGACCAGGCTCCCCCCGTACCTGTCCGTTCCCCCTCAGCACTCACACACTCGCGCACTGGCAAAGCGGACCTCTCGTGCCGAGAGACACGAGACATGACCTTTTTCGTTTAGACGCACTAACACACTAAACCGCTCTGGAGATAACAGTGTCCAAGCTTCGAAAAGGGCCAATAACAGCTCGAGTTTGTACAAACTTGGTGATCGTTCGTCTAAGATCACGCGCCTGATCCTGGCTGACCCCTGAACTCCATACATCTAAGCGGAGGCGATGTTACTGTCTTGGTGATCCATCAGGAGCATCATCGTATAGCTATCAGCTGTAATAAAAGCAATTGCTGCCATGCAATCCTCTGATACCTAATTCATAGGATATATCTTCAATATAACAGTGCTCTAGCTCTGATTCCTTACCTTAAAGCAATCAAGTTGTTGGCTGTTGTATCACTGTGGTCGCAAATACCCTCGATCGCCAACAAAGTTCAACCAAATCGATTGAGTTTGACTTGATCTTCAAACCCGAAATGCTACCTACTATATATATTAAACTTTCACCTTCGACTCCATTTACAATATCAATCCATCTCCATCTACCTCAATCATACCACGAGCCGTAAGTTCAAAGACCGTGCATTCCGTGAACCAACGTCCATATCATTCATCCATCCATATCACCCCAGATTTCAGGTCATAGATTCATCCCTGCCCATCATAATACGTACCGCCCCCTTCATTCCGGCCCATTTTACCTTGCTCGCCAGAGCTCAATGCAACAACCACACTAGCAATGGATGGATGTCATAGTTAATGAATTGACATTCGAAAACCTTCCAAAACCCTTCGACGCCATCATGCATCGCCGTTGTCACATCTACATCTAACTCGCCATTTTCCCGTCGCACAACGCTTCCCCTCCCGCCACCACAATCCAATTGTACCCAACAAGTAGCCTAACTGTTAGCTTGGCTGCCCAGGCTGACAGCCCAGCGCCCACCACAGGGGAGACACGCCATGGGCCCTGGTCAAGCTTGCAGGCCTGTCAAACACCAACTCGCTGACAGTCGACAACCAAGAACGCATTACCATCTTGCAACAAAATCAATTAGTACTGGATAATGGTAAATGAATTGTGACTTCACGCTTTAGTGAATCCGGCGCTATGCAGCATATGTACATCGGACGCCCAAATGCATCTTGTTTTCATTACGGGCAATTGGCTCAGTTCACAAGCGTCACTCAGGGGGGGCATTATGTTTGTGTGCAAGGAATCAACTCCAGGCATTGGGGTATAAGTAACCAGACCTAAAATCGAACAGTCCCATCCTTTCGCAACCAGAATCGAAAAGGAAAAAGACAAGGGAAAAAACAACACACACTGCCGTCATCCTTCCTTCCCTTCGACTCGCCCCGTCTTGAAACGGCTTCGTCTTCCTCAACCTCAAACATCGTCCTTCATCTCTCCCCATTACACCAACAGACGCGTCCATACCACAAGTCCCTTTCCTTTGTAACACTCTCTTCCTATAGGCCAGTTCGACAGGTGCATACGCTGCACCTCGTCTTCAGTTTTTCCACCTTTGCGCGCCAGTTCCCAGTTCCAATCCTTTCCGTGTCCGATCCGAAAGAGTGGTAACAAAGCCGGTGAGGCATTGTCCGCCATGTCTCATAAAATACTCGAGGCAAGTTCACAAGTAACAAACATTAAACAGTTTCCCGCGTAGAAATTGTGCAGAACGCCACTGCTAATTTTCCCTTTGTTTTTGGTGTTTTGTGTCTTTTCCCTTTGCAGTAGGGAATTTGGGTAAAAGATCATCCTTCTTGGCTGTCGAGGTCTCAGAGGAGTGCGAAACTTGCAAGAGACCCCAAAGCCACCTTGTGACTCGCCCTATCTCTTGGAGTTGGGGAACAAATCTATGGATGTCAGTTTCAATGAATGCTTCTTCACTCTCCGTTGTCAAAACGGAGCACTCGAGACGTACCTGGAAAGTGTTCTTTGGCGTACTGTTCGCAAGCCTACGTCATATGTCAACACCTTACATCCTTTCTCAAGTTTCGAGGGTTTAGGTTCGTACCTTGGCAGGTTTGTTAACCTTCTGCCCAATTGACTTCCACTTGTTGTTCTCGTACTCCTTGATGGCGTTCAATAACGCTTGACTCTGATAAAGGGGAGGTCAGCTTTGTTGTCCAATGTACAGGGCGAATGGTGGCTACCTCGTCCTCAGCAAACTCAGCATAATGCATGTCCTAAATCCGTTAGTTTCTTAAAATCCTCACGTCGATTTTCTGGTAGAACATACCTTGTACCAATGCTTCTTGACAGACCCTTCTGTCCTGGTAGGAAAAGTCTGCACGTCATTTTCAGCACATGAATCATACCCAGGTTACACCATAGGTCTTACCTTAGCAATCTCTGCCCAGCTGTTGCCAGCATCTCGCATTTGCTTCAGTCGCAACTCTTCTTGTGGTGTCCAGGGGGTGTTAGTCCGGCTTTTCTTGGCCGGTGGAGGCGCGACTGGTGCTGCGTTCGCATCATCTGTCTGAACTTGTTGTGGTTGTTGAGGAACTGCCTGTGGTGCGGGAGGAGCTGCAACAGGAGGTTGAACTTGAGATGGGGTGACAGGAGCAGGAGGGGCAGCTGTGGCCGGAGGTCCAGCGGCACCAGGTGCCGGCCTCTTTCGCGACCGACCAGCCGGTGCCGGAGTAGGAGTAGGTACTTGCTGAGGAGGTGCAGTGCCGTTTGGAGGTTGCTGAGGAATGTTCATGGGGGGAGGTTGAACAGGCGCCGGGTGATGTTGCTGCTGCTGCTGTTGAGGCTGTTGAGGTTGCTGTTGTTGCTGCGGTGCCATATTAGGCTGAGGGGCGCCGTAGCGGAATTCCATGTTCTCAGGACGACGAGTCATGTCGTTCTGGTATTGGTGAGGATTGCTATTGAGGGACGCAGGTCAGCAGGGTGGTTCCCAATCGTAGGACTTCATGATCGATATGAATGGGCACGGCAGTTGACACAACCACAAGCTACAGGCATTGGGGGTACTTTCATGTGGGAAAGTTGCTTGTGTAGCTATGATATGGTACCAGGTCTATCAGTGGTGAAATGGGTCGTGAGACACAATTCGAAGGAACCGATAAAGGACCATACAAAGCCAGAAAAGCTCTGACGAAACAGGGAAGGAGTCAGATCCATCCGCAATCGACAAATGGCGTGGTACCGGGTCGAAGAAAGAAGGGTTCATCAAAGAACGTATACTTACTGCATCTCGGTTGGCTGATGAGAGTTGGAGTAGACATACTCCGGGACAGGCCCGACTTGCCACTGCTGCATGTTCTAAGAGGTACCAGTCAGCCATCAAATTCGAGGAAGCATCGGCAACAAGCAAGGAAACATGATGTTGAAAGTCGTGAGACGCTGACGCTAGCGCATCTGCGATACAACAAGACATATCATGACTCTGACTGGTGTATCAACCAACGTGGGTCTGAAGCACGCGCAAGCTGGGGGTGACGCGACCAGGGTCTGAGCTGAACTGAGCTGCGCAACTATTGTCGATATCGAAATTCGACAGGAACTAGGACAATAGTCGCTTCATAACATTTGCAGCATACCTGTAACCACAGCCTTGGGTCCATCTTGTTGGCCGGCATCGCGTTGCGATTCATAGTGTTTCCCTCCATATTAACACCAGAGGCGCGATGGCGCAAAACGCGGAACTTTTTTTTGGATGACCAAGAGTACAGACGGTGACAATAGAGAAAGTATTTGTACTCACGGGCGAAAGTCTGACTAGTTGGTCCGTAAATAGAGTTGAGTTAAAAGACAAGAGAGTTGGACAGTGACCAGTCACAATGTCGTGAAGGGGACCACGTCGATACAAGAGAGGTACACACGAGTATCTCGAGTGTCTGCGAAGTACTCAAGAAGATCTGTGCTGGGAGGGGATTTTAGGGCGTCAGGAAACACAACCGTGGGATCTGGTTGGTAAAAAAAAAATTGAAACGTGATGTGGTGGGATGCCGTATTTGAAGTCTCCACGCAAGTACCAATTGGTCGTGATGTTCCAGGTTTTTTGTCTTGTAATGAACCTTTGTGCGCTGGTTAAGGTTGGGTCAGTATCAGCGTGTAAGTGGTGAGAGTGGAAATAAAGAAAATTGTTTGAGTTCAACGGAATCGCATGTGCGCGATGCTCTACGTGTCTAAACCGTGTGCGCGGTCAGAAGCTGTGTTGCTTTTCGCGTGCGCCTCGGCGAAGCAATGCTGAATACATTGGCAGTGCCCCGTTGTTTTTGGGTGGTTGGAGAC